TAATGGACCAAAAATTATGGTCCTGCACATGGGATGTAATATATGGATCTTTCCAAATCGCAGAGCTGAGTCGATGTAGCTATGTGTGTACGCCCGTCCGTCTATTATGGCACGATCCTCACGAAATTTCGCATGGAGGTTACAATAGAAACCTACGATCGAATTGCCAAGATTCAGTTCATTTGGTTCTGATATTAGCAATTTGGTATGCAATAAACCTGAAATCGGGTAAAGATATCTATAGGAGCTATCTCCAAATCTGATCCAATGTCGATAAAATTTCACAGTGGTATTCCGGGCTATGTATGATATCTGGTACCAAAGATCATTGTTGTGAAGTGCATATTACGCTTAAGGGGGACATAAACACCAAATCGGATAGTACATATATGTGAAAGCTATAGCTATATCTGAAACGATTTTCATCAAATTTTATGTACTTGCTTCTAGGCTGAATTCTCTCGGATGTGCTATACTTAAGGTCATTTGGACTGATATTGGCCATTTGGTGCACAATTAACCCGAAATCGGTTGAAGATATATATATGGGAGCTATATCTAAATTTGAGCCTATTCTTACTGATTTCCTTAAGGTTCGTCCTTGGGCCAAGCAAATATTGTTTGGAAAATTTCATTTCAATCGGATAATAAATGCGATATGCATTTTGTTCACAAAAATACATATGACAAAGGGACAGACGGAATGACATGCATAAATCGAACCAGAAAGTGATTCTATATCCTCAAAAGTAACTATGGGTCTATATCGCATAGCGACATAATACTCTTATTACAATGTGGCTTAGAGTATAAAAATCCACAATTTTTTTATCTAAAAAAAATCTACTATTATTTTGACTAGGAGGTCCTTGGAAAATATTTTCTAAATACTTCCAAACATTTTGGTCTAGAGGTCCTTCATAAAAATTTCTTTAGAATCCACAATTTGTTGTGAGGAAATTACTTAGAAACTTATACTTAAAAACTCCACAACTTTCCTACATTCTTAAATGAGTTCCTGAAATAATCAACGATTTCTGATACGAACTTGAAGAAATGTTTTCAGCAAGTCCTTCAAAAAATAATTCTAAAAAATTCACTATTTTTTTGGGAAGTCATTAAAAAATTCTAAAACATTTATCAAGAGGTCCAGGAAAAGTAAATTTTTAAAAATACTTTCTTTCTGGAGGTCCTTGAAAAAATTTCTGTAAATATTCTGGATTCCTTAAAAACTCACCATTTTTGTTCATCGAATTTTAAGAATTTTCTTAAAAATTCCAATTCTGTGGCATCAGAATAAATGGCGAATATTAATAAAATTAAGACAACAAAATCACAACAAGACCAAATATTTGGAGGTATCGCCTTATGAGTGATAAAAAATGAGCCTATTCCATCAGTCTTCTGCCACAGAAAGCAGAACCCTTACAAACTCTGCATACCGAATTTTTAACGACTACCCTGAAAAATGTGGCTATCATCAGCAGAATACCGAATAAGTGCAGCAACATGGCGACAAAACGTGATCTGCCACAGGAGGTAAAACCCATTACGAACCCGAATCACCAAATTTCAAACAACTCTGTTAGAAAATGAGTCTTAAATCATCACAATACTGAATATAAGGAGATAGCGTTACATAGGGGTATCGGAACCTATGTGGACAAGGTTTTTCAACAGGAGCTGGAACCCGTTAAAAATTCCAAATATCGAATTTTAAATAATTCCATATGAAAATGTGGCTTAAAATACTGAATATAGGAGGAACCATTGTAGGACGAACTAAAACTGCCTACTGGCAAAATACACATGTGTGCAAACTTTTAGCAGTCTATCTCAATTCGTTCTAAAGATAGCGTGATTACAATAGACATACACACATGCAAACAGGCGGATATGAAGCTAAATTACATTAAGCATTACATCGTAGGAAGCTTTAGAAATAAAATAAATTAAATTCAGTCAGATATCCCAAACCAATATTTTATTTGTTTTTCAAAAGTATTTATTTAACCAGCAATTAGACCAGTCACTGCGTCACCAGCTGCTTGGCCAGCAATTGGAGCTGCAACTTCCTTAATCTTGCCAAAGGTTTTCTTCAACTATAGATTAAAATAAAAAACGTTTTCAAAAAAACTAAAAGGTTTTATGCCAACATGTACTTACGAATTTCTTTAAACCCCTCTATAAAATCAGAACGAAAACAAATACACAAATTAATTGACGAATATCTAAATCTTAAAAAATTTAACTTACAGGTTGAGGAGCAGCAGAAACTTGTCCACCGATGACAGCAAAGATCACAATCAAAGCGAATAGTAAGGTGCAGGACAATTTCATTGTGGCTTTGTCTTCTTTGTTGCTTCTTAGAAATGTACAACTGGAATGTTAACTGAATCTCCGAAATTTGAAACTTATATACGCAGATGGGCGTTATTCAAAAATGGAACAAAGAATATATTTCTCAAATATTTCCGTTTTATTTATGCATATTTTTAATAACATTGCATAGTATTCTACACAACTATGCCAATATTTATATTTCAACAAACATTCATGTCATTTGAATAAATATATTTTAAAAATTATCATAAATTATATACCTATTTATTTTAATGCACCTCATCATATTATGGAGGGTATATTAATTGGGACATTCCGTTCGTAACTCCTCGAAACACTAATATTAGTGCCAACGAAGTATGTACATATATTCTTGATCAGCTTAATATTCTAAGTCTATTTAGCTATCATTGGAACAAATTGAGATGGAAGACTTAAATTTTGCACACATACACAGTGAGATAAAAAAATTTCAGACTGCTGTCATTTCTAAGCCAATCGTCCAACCTCTGTTAAAATTATTCCTGTTGCAGCTCATTATATTGTTTAGAAGCGTACAAAAGCATTTTGGTGAGAATTTTCCAGGAAAAAAGTTATTCGTTATGGAAATAAAGCGGGATGGTGTGATTTCTTTATATTTGGCTGGAAAACAACAAGTAGCTATCGTTAGAGCAATCCAGCATTCAAATGTGAATAAATCTTTTGTGTCTCGTACTATCGCTCGTTACTGGTAGCGTAGCCCGACGTCAAGGAAGTGGGCGGAAGAAAACACCAACACCAGCAGAAATGGTTCGAAGAGTAAAGAAGCGACTTGATCGGAAGCCGCGTCGCAGTGGCCGAAAAATGTCTCGTGAGCTGAACATATCGCAATATTCCATTCGCAAATATTGAAAAAATTAGCTCGGGGTAAAGCCATTGAAACTCCAAAAAGTGCAAGAACTTACACCGCAACAGAAAGAAAATAGACTCAAAAGAGCTAAAAAGTTACTTCGCTTTGCCGAAAGTGGTGAACTGCCGAATTTGGTTTTCTCCGATGAGAAAACATTCGTTGTCCAGCAGTTTGTAAACAAACAAAATGATCGTGTTTACAAGCCAAAGAGGTCAGCTGAAAATGTGCACCTTCGGTTGGCCACCAGAACTCAAGCGTTGGCCATGGTGATGGTGTGGGCTGCCATAACAGCCGTTGGTCGCTCTCTGCTCGTATTAATCGACCGTGGCATCAGAATAAATGCCGAATACTATCGCGAAAATGTTCTGAAGGGTGTCAGCCTTGGGCACTCAGACCATGGGTATTCCAACAGGACTCAGCACCATCGCACTCAGCATGCGCCACCCGAGATTGGTTATAAAATGAGGTTCCTCGACTCATTTTCAACGCACAATGGCCACCAAAATCTCCGGATACCACTCCGTTGGACTATTGTGTCTGGAATATTTTGGAAGGCAACAAATCTAAATTTATTCTAAAATTTGATGCTATTTTCGATTTTTTTTTTGCTTTCATTCAATAAAATTTAAAAAAAAAATTAAAAATTATGGCATTTGACTTTGTTTGTTCGTTTATCTCACCCTGTATATCTTCTTCATTACTACTAAGGTATTTCTCTATTTTTTTTTTTAATCAAAAAAATCTAAAGGAAATTACAGATAAAAAGGTTTACTTCAGGGAAACTAAAAAGAAGCGAGGGGGACTCAAATGAAATGTCTCGGGGCGTACTTCTCTAATATATGGGACTTAAAAGCATAAATGTTTGACTTAGGGATTTTCCGAATATTTTACGAAAATTTATCGCAAAACTGAATGGAAATTACAGATAAAAGGATCCGCTTTAGAGAAACTAAGAATGAAGTGCGATTGAAGTGATGTATATGGAACTTATTGGCAACAATATATTTGGACTGAAGTTTTTTTTCGAATTTACCAAAAGTTGCATAGAAAAATGAGGCACCTTTGGAAGTTCTTAGTCATTTCAACGATTCTCGACAGTTCGTGGAAATCAAGATATAAGACACAATATTTAAGATATATAAGCGAAATTTTCTCCCTTAAATTTTTGTTTTTAAAAATAGACATCCTATTCCACGAAGATTCCAGCCAAAATGTCATTGTTTTCGTTGTACATTTATTTTATAGGTTTCACATAAAGTACCTCCTGATTCTTAATATTTTTCTTGTTTCCGACGCATTTTCAAACCAAAATAGTCGTATTATGGCATCTTAAGTTCCCAGAAGTCATAATCTCTTCTTGCCAAACATTTTGAACATAGGTTAACTTTTTGGTAAAGCCCCCGAATTTCGGAACCTCCTACTATTCAATATTTCGAAAACTTCAACATCAGTTTTAAAGTACTCTCGAACTTTAGTTATCCAAATTGAAAGTACTTTCGCACTTTAGACTTCCTTGTCTAATCATTCCCGCCTGCTAATAAGAAGGTATTGTTTCTAAAAAGCAGACTATATTAAATCAACAATAAAAAACTGTAGTGTATCTATAATTAAGCTTTTTTCAAATAACAGCCTATTTATGTTCCAATCGAAGAATAGCCAAATTCATGTTTACTTAAATTTCTATTGTCATCATTATTTAATAAAACGTATTTAATGAAAATACACGCGCGAGAAAAGAATATTTGATGTACAAATATTGTCGCAAAATTCACGTCAACTCCTATTATAATGCAGTGTGTACAGTTAAAATGTTGCATAAACAAAAATAATTAGAAATTTCCTCATAGTTGAATTTAAAAAAAATAACGCAAATTTCGACTATAAAAAGGATAACTTTGAAAGATTCGTTCATCAGTAGAAGTTCTGTAATTCTTAGAAAACACAACAACAATGAAATTGTCCTTTGCTTTTTTGTTTGCTTTCATTGTTATCTTTGCTGTGATTGGCGGCCAAGTTTCAGCTGCTCCACAACCTGTAAGTTGAAAGTGTATTAAAGCAATACTCAATTTAAAAATTAAAATATTATTCGAGATTATCTTATTAAAATAATTTTCTTTAAATTTCTTTTTTTGTTGTAACAGAAAAGTCTTAAAAAATTCGTAAGTACATATTTTATAAAAACCTTATGTTAAAAGCTCCCGCTTATCGTCTCAATTCCATTGCAAATATTTAGTTGAAGAAAACTTTCGGTAAAATGAAGGAAGTTGCAGCTCCAATTGCTGGCCAAGTAGCTAACGACGCAGTTACTAATCTAATTTCTGGTTAAACTTTTTGGCAATGTTAATAAATTAATGAATTTGGTTATCTGAGTGAAATTTATTGCGTTTCATTTTTTTCCAACATTGTACTAACTGGTTGTTAATAATTTGTTTTACAACCCATTAGATAAAACATATTTTCGTAAAAATAGCCAAATCATCCCCCATTATATGCAGTTATTTCTTTCTATATTTGCATATATATGGCATCAATTTGCGTTATAAGTAAAAATCCATGGGTATATGGGTCAATAAAATAAATTCGGTCACATTAGATTTTTTTTACATTAAGTAAGCTAAAATATTAAACAAGTAAGCAAAGTCGTGTGGGGCCGACCATGTGATACCCTACAACACTACAATTAGTTCGAAGTCCCCTTATGTGCAAATCCATTTTGGAAGATTTCGTTTTTGAAATAATGTCAAAAATAATGCCCCTTAGGTCTCTTCTGATGCGAAATTCAGTGTCGATTTATTTTTAATTGTGGCCTATAGAGCGACTACAAAATTAGAAAAATTTTATTTGAACCCCTAAATGCAAATCTTAAGAACAATAGGCTTTAATTCTGACCCTTACCCTACGCCATACCAAATTTCGTGAAGATCGGACGAAGTGTAAAAATTTAAAAAAAATTACAATTCTAAATTGGAAGTCAAATTGAAAAAATCGCATGCGATAAAAAATTTGACAAACATTGAAAAAAATGAAACAAAAGATATTAACTTTTTTATTGCTATATTTTCCGCGATTTTCTTAGATATTGTCCTTTTTTGGCAAGAGACGATTCCGAATTGATGGGATTTGTGAAAATCGACCCAGCGGTTGTTGTCTTATAAGCAGAATAAATAAGATATGCTATTTTACATATATATATTGTACCTATTTTGCTTTATATCCCATTTCCTGGCTATTAGCATCACTGCAATGGTCAGAAGTGATATTTTAATGTATTTGTGATGTGGCTGGAACTGAAAATATTCGCGGTTTAGTGGAAATTTTCTTATTTCCTTACATAAAAGTTAAAGTGGCTGCCGAAATTGGTAGGCTTCTGCCCAGTCCTAAACTCTAACTCCATGTAAATTTCCGCGTCGATTGGTTTATAATTATGGCTTATAGAGCAACTGCAAAATCATGAAATTTTTCAGTTCTTGGTCCATTTCAACCCCATAATAGTGTGCAATCATCTCCAAAAACAATAGGGTTCTATTCTGACAAAAACCCCACCTCCATTTTTCAATTTTGTGAGGATCGTGCCATAATTGCGACCTGTAGCTTGATTACAAAATAACATGGACAGACGGACGGACGGACATACATAGCTAGATCGACTCAGCTCGGCGAGATAGGGAGATCCATATATACTTTCCTATGTGGGAAACCAATATTTCGAGGTGTTACATAATTTTTGGCCCAATCAAACTTATAATACCCCCAACACCAAGTGTTGTAGGGTATAATAAATTAAATCCGATCTACATATGTATTTCCGTTCGTTTGTCCATGTTAATTTATAATTAAGCTACAGGTCGCAATTTTTGCTGATCCTCAGGAAATTTAGCATGGAAGTGGGGTTAGGGTCAGAAAAGAAGCTTAGGTCGCAATTATAGACCAATCGACGCGGAATTTAGCACGGGGCTAGAGTTTAGGGCTTGACATTTTGTTTGGTCATCGGACAATATTTAGCAGATAAAATAGTCGATACGATTGTTATAGTGATACTGATAGCCAAGATATCAGATATATAGCAATATACAGGGTGAGATGAAAAAACTGCAACCAACTTCAGAAAATCACAAGTGGCTATCGTTAGAGCACTCCAGCATTCAAATGTGAATAAATCTTTTGTGTCTCGTACCTTCGCCCATTACCGTGATACTGGCAGCGTAGCCCCATTTCAAGGAAGTGGACGGAAGAAAAAAGCAACATCAGCAAAAATGGTTCAAATTAAAGAAGCGACTTGATCGAAACCCGCGTGCAGTGGCAGAAAAATGGCTCGTGAGACGAATTAATCGCAATATTCCATTCGGCAAATATTGAAAAATGAGATCGGGGTAAAGCCATTGAAATTACAAAAAGGGCAAGAACTTACAGCGCAAAAGAAAGAAAAATAGACTCAAAAGAGCTAAAGAGTTGCTTCGCTTTGCCGAAAGTGGTGAACTGCCGAATTTGGTTTTCTCCGATGAGAAAACACTCGTCCAGCAGTTTGTAAACAGTTTGTAAAAATGATCGTGTTTACTTGCCAATGAGGTCAGTTGAGAATGTGCACCTTCGGCTGGTCACCAGAACTCAAGCACCGGCGGCCCGTGTGGGCCGCCATAACAGCCGATGATCGCTCTCCGCTCGTATTAATCGACCGTGGCCATCACGGGCCGCCCAAGAATGGTTACAAAATGAGGTTCCTCGCTTCATTTCCAGCACACAATGGCCACCAAAATCTCCGGATACCAATCCGTTAGACTATTGTGTGGAGTATTTTGGAAAGCAAGGTTGGCAAAAAAATACCAAAGTGTCTATCACCTCAAGCAAGCGCTTCGCAGGGAATGGGCCTTAACACTTCAGAGCAACATTCGAGCAGCGTGTGACGGTTTCATTGGCCGTTTGAAGGCCATAATTTGTGCCAAAGATGACTATTTCGAACAAATCTAAACTTATTCTAAAATCTGATGCTTTTTACATTACATTTTTTGCTATTATTCAATAAAATTAAAAAAAAATTTAAAAATTAAGGCGCTTGGCTTTGTTACAGTTTTTTTATCTCACCCTGTACTTTTCACCTTACAACACTGTGTTTCGAGAGTATTATATTCAAGTCGCAATTATCATCGGATTGTCAAGAAATTTAGCATGGGGTCAGAATTAAAGACTATTTTTTCATGATGTGTATTTAAAAGTAAAAATGGACCAATTTTAAAAACCAATCGACACGGAATTTTGCACGACTTGAATTATTTTTAGCGGATAAAATTGACAACCACTTTTGTGTGAAATTATTTTGTATACTTATCATATCGACATAGGTTGGAAGTGGAATAAGGAAGATATCCCAAAGATGACTTTTGTGCGGAACAGTATGACATTATTTAAAAAATCGATTGAAATGTATTTGGACCTAAGGAGGTTTTCCAATATATTATAGTGTTGTAGGGTATCGAGTGGTATGCCCCTCACGGCTATAGCCTTTGCTTACTTATTATAAAATAATTGTTGAGCTTATTTTTTTAATTATATTTTTGCATAAGAAAATAGTAAATGAATTAAATTTCAACACAGAAAATTATTTCAAAATTCTCTTAAAAATAGCTCTTTTATTATTTTGCCAATCTATGGTCATAGGGTATAAAATTGTTATATCTATGGAACACATTTTGGACAAATCAAGTGATACAAACAACGATTTTGGTTTTAAGTATCTAAATTCGCGCATTGCACTTATAACTGCACTGCAAAAAATTTGTTGAATTTTACATTGGCCAAGATAAGATTTTATCCGGTTCTAAGGAATTTTTGAGTTTCTCAAACGGAAGATAATAATTAATATAAATAATGATATACCTATAGACTAGAAATTTGGTTTTGGACTGAGTCGATATATATCACACCTTCAAATCTTCAATAAATATTTTTTGTAAGAAGAAAGCAAGTTCTAAGTCAACGTTTGGGCATAGTATTCAAAAAGTAAAATTTTTATTTGAAAATCATAACAATTTATCATTAAAATGTAAAATACATAAAATAATTGTTTATTCATTTTTGTAGTGTTGTTCAATTTACGATGACTAAAATGGATTATGTTGATTTCGATAATTTTGACTTAAGTGATTGTAACGACTGTTGGACACTGTCAAGTTTCTCTTTAAATTGTTGTCCCAGCTGCTTCTAGAAAACAAAAAAATAACAACACAAATAAAATAAGTATTTTATTACTTGACTACAGTCTTTTACAATTTTATCTCCGATGCCATCCAATGACCCTGTACATTGAGTGTGGTTTACAACAATCGTTAACACAACTACAAAGATAACCAACAATTTTCCGAAATCCATCGCTTTGGAATGAGCTAATAACCACAAATCAGTGAAGAATTGAAAAAACTTTAGCTTTTTATAAACAAAAATTATTTGTGGTTGTGGAAGAGATCATTTTGCATAACATATAACACATATTGAGATTGATTAAAGAAGTTTAGAATGGCCAAAATCTAGATGAACTGTGTGAAAATGAGAGAAGGTGAAGGTAAAAAAACTGGAAAATAATTAAAGTTATAAATTGAGCGAAGTATAATCAATACCACTAAAAATGTTTATCTTATATAAAATCACACTAATCTCATATAATATCGTATTTTTCTTTCAAATAAATTTCTAAAAATGGGTACATAAGTATATATAGCTTTGTATCTAGATATCCTACACTCGAAATAAAATTTTATACCAGTATTAACTTCCAAATTTAAGCCACATTATTATGACTTAAGCTACATTATTCACCGGAAATGTTTCAAATTTGATATTTGAAGTTCGTAATAGATACTTCAGCCTAAAGGTAAGGTCACATTGAGGAAATATTTGACGAAAAATTTCAAATATTTCTTAGTCACAATCTGACCGACAAATATTTTTTGACGGAAACACAAAAGCAGCTGATTTTGGGAAAACAAAGTTGTTTTTTTTTTTTTTTTAATATATAAACTAGTAATACATTAATGAATGAATAGCCAAAGATTTTTTTCAAAATTGTTTAAATAACTTTAACAATTCTCTCCATTCATGATTATTTTGTAAACAATATCCATGTAATTGAAAAGAATACACATGTAAACGCAACTACTCGCTAGCTTCCTTGATTTGACTGTACCATTTATGATTTTGCAAACAGACAACCATACATGCAAACATTAAAAAATTCTGACAAAACACTCATATTCTTAAACAGCTAGTTTCGCGATTTCGCGATATTCGGCATTTATTTGATGCAACGGTCGATTAATACGAGCGGAAAGCAACCATCGGCTGTTATGGCGTCCCGCACCTTTACCATGGCCGGCGCTTGAGTCCT